TCAATAAACGCTTCCCTGCGCACCTCGCGCCACAACGACCACCACATCTACCCCACATTTACTATAGACGTAAACACAGACACACAGATACACATACACGCATACAACCCCTCGTCAATATGCGTTTTCTGCATTGTATAGCTGCAGAAAGCGCATAAAAAATGCATGAAAATGCGTTGTATGTTAACTTTCTGCTGCACATTCTATTTTGCTGCATTACTGTACTGTCGTGTATCAGTGCGCGCCTTTGTAGGTTGTAAAAGTGATTATCATTATGATTCTAAAAAATATACCTTGACGGAGAAAGGCGCCAGCTCACTGGTGCTATCACGATTTGCACAGAATGTATCAATGACACGATTTGATAATACATCCTTCAGCTCCAGAAAATCTGTGCTGCATGGATGTCGACTGTAGTCTGCTAAAAAGACAGGGAATTCAGACGACATCTCACTTTCGCATATTTTGATTGGAAAGTCTGAGTAAATAGTGCAGCAGAGCAGTACTATTTTCAAGTTGTACTGCTTAGCACCGTTATGATTATGCATTTCGGATTTAGCAGTTATGGCAGTCTAGTGGATGCATGGAACAGTGAGCGCAAAAGTATTTAGGCGTGTTATTCTGAAGCCATGTTCCTAGCCAATGCCATGTGTCATAGTACGACATAACCTGGTCCGACGCTGGTTCATACTGTGCAAAGCGGCACAGTGTGACCGAGGGATTTCATCCTAATTACTTTGTTTGCTCCCAGTCATAAAACCTGTCCCGATTTATAAGAATACAAGTTAAAAAACTGCTTTAGACTCCATTACATCCGAACTGCTTTAGACTCCAGTACAAGTAACTCCATTACATCTCAGGGATCCAACTCAGAATTTGCTCATTTAAACTACTTGGACATACACTGATACAAACACATGCATGAACATACCAATATTAACTCACCATAATGTATTTTTCAGTTTGTGTATTCAATGAAGTATAAATTGGACTAGACAAGGAAACCGTAATTACGGCCGAATACACTCAAGCAAATTAGAAACTGTCAAAAATAATAGACTGGAAATTAACTAGAAAAAAATAACTTACAAATCTGTGGATCGAGATCTAGGTCCAATATTTTTAACGTAATGACCGGTGTTCCCGCATAATCAGGCCCAATAAGATAATAACATTCTGTATCTTCATTTGGATAGAATCTCGGATAATGAGGTGATGTAACAACGCCGTGATTCAGCCGGAAAGTTGTACCGCATTCTGCAAATTTTTCGCATACATCGACAAGCAATATATGCGCAGCCAGAAAAAGAAGAAAATCGTCTCACTTATCAGATAGTATGTCAATTTTTCGAACTTTGGATATTCCATTCTGTCTGTCATTTTTTAGGCCTTCTTAGAATGACTCATACAAATAAAGTCGCATTATGGCGAAGATGTCGGTGTACTTATTTCTCCATGGCAATGTCTGCCCTTTTGTTTAATCATATAATTCAGTGCCAGAAGTGTGAATGTTACGAGTCTGAATTTTCGGTATTTTTCCATAAGAAAAATAGGTCGAAAAACCACTGTGATGAGACAAAAAGAACTGCTGAAAATTTTGCAGTATCTGTCCTTTGTGGACTCGCAACGTCCATCCCAAAAATGTGCGATCACCCTAGCAATATGGTGCGTGCCGCTGCTTATTAATAAAATGTTAATTTGAAAATAAGTATGAAACCACGCATTTTTCTACAAACTTGCCGATTCTCATCACTACCTCCTCCATTTCCTCTTAGTCCCATATTCTGCAACTGCGCCTGGCCACTGTGAAATTTTGGCTGCACAGAAAGCTGATTGAATGTTTAAAAATATTGATTCAAACCGACCTGCTTTCCATGTTATGTTAAAGCCTCTCGCTGTAATTTTTTCATCAGATCTGAATTCGATTTTGATACGATTACTTTCTGAGCGAAAAACGCGAGGGGTTTCGTACCCACAAATCTTCTTCAGTTCTTCTTCATGATCAAATAAAAAGTAATATCCACCCACTGGTGCCATTGCCCGTGATTGATGCTCTTGACTTATCTGAAATAAAGGCGCTGCAAAGGTTTACTTCATGAAGCATGAAACAAAGGCTTACTTAATGAAGTATTGATTACGTTGCTCTGGAAATACGGGAATGGTTAATCAGCGCTGAATCAACGCCGAGGTACCATCCCAAAACTGCGTGCTGCACAATGTTTTATTAAAAAAGTACAAACCTTCAGGTAATCTTTGCTGCACTCACTCGACTGCTGTATGTCGAAACGATTGAAATACAGTGCAACATGATAACCAAGCGGAACTGCTATGTCCCAGAGGCAATAAGCGTTGTTCGGATAATCGCTCGGACTTTTCGGGCTCAACACCGTACCATTCAAACGATTTGTTATGAATCCACACTCTGCAGCATTCGAAACTGGAGCAGTCAGATTTGGACAAAATCACAATGACCTTTTTGCGCCCGGCTGCTCAAACGCAACAAAATTTCATCATTTTTGCGCTAAATATCATTTCCAAGCCCATTTTCTGCCTTTAGAACTTAAAACTTTGCTACTAGTTTTAAGGTCCTACTGCTTGAGTCTGCGCCTCATCAGCTGCACTCTATACCCATCTACGTTACATTTTACACCAACTGCCGCATCTTGCGCTTTTTTATTGTGCGGTCGATTCAGCGCACTGAAATAAAGCAGTACAGAAGATCAAATTCCCAAAATGTTCCTGAGGCCACTCGAAACAGAAAGATCATGGAGGAGCTGTTGAACTAGAATTTTTATAAGGGCAAAGCGCGTTGGACAAGACTCACGAGCGAAACTTTTTTAATCATGCAACATGCAAATAACATCAACACTGAGAGATAAGTAAACGACCACTCGGGCCACTTCCGAAAAGAGCGTCACCATGGGATAACAAATGAAAGTATGCAACTTGGGGACAGAGACTTGGCAGAGCTGCGCTTGACGTATGGAAGCATTCAGCAACATCATTAACGTATTATACTCACATCGATTATCCTGGTGATTTTGGTATTCCTGGTAATATTTTAGTTACAATCATTGGCGACGCGCGCCAGGCGAGCCCGTGCGATCGTTCGTGTCGCTTAGAATCCCAGCAGCTAGGATTTGTGACATACTGGTTCTCGAGATTCGGGAAGTTAACTGTACAATTATGCGGTACTTCGACAGAGAACATCCCGCTAAATTTTCAGCCTTCCAACTTTCCTGGGTCCTAAGTTAGCAATTTTTCCGCTAAAAAAAAAAATTCCATGGGACTGTACGTAGAAACAATTTATAACTGAGGACTGAATTTGATATTTTGAACTTTTACGGTCGCTGAGAACATCCCCTTAAAATCGGTCCCTAGCTTTTCTGGTTCTGAGTTAGCGGCTTTCCCGCCAAAACTTTTACGTGGTCGCACGCGGGCCTCAGACGTACTTGGGGGCTGGTACCACGGGGCAGCACCTGGCCGAGGAACCCGCTGGCAAAATTTTGGCGCCAGAATTTGCCTGGTTGTGGGGTTGAAATACCGGGACAAGCGCGCACACAAGCACACACACATACATACACAAATAAACGCACACCATGGGTCGTCATAATATGCGTTTTGCATTTGCATATATGCAAAAACGCACAAAAATTATTGGCACTAAATAAGTAAATTAGCACACAATTCTTATACGAAGATTAAAGGCATAACTTGTGAAATTAAGAAAACTATTGCTTAAATACCGAAAACCGTTCTGAAAAAGGCAGACGCCTACCCTAATGCACTGTGTAGTTAGCTTTTATCGTTCGAATGAAGCAACAGAAAGGCAGGTTGTTAATAAACTGACCATCTTCCTGGCCAGCAAAGCTGTATTCAAGTCGGAAGCCCCTTCGTTCGATTGACCTGTCAGTATAGAAATAAAGCGTTATATAGCGGCCCCTGGACTTCACTTCCCGAAACCTATCCTGTATTGGCTCTTCCTGTGGGTTATTGCAGTAGATATGCACTAGCGATGCGTCGGTACCTCCACCTGCAATGGGCATTCGCTACAGGAAGCAACAAAAAATACATCTATCAAAGTGCACTTTTGCAACAAGCATCCTCTCGTCCAGTTTTTTCCCTTTGTGACCATCTTCCTGGCCAGCAGAGTCGGAAGCCCATTCGTTCGATTGACCTGTCAGCATAGAAATAAAGTCTAATCCTCGGTATGGGTACCTCAGTTCCGATAAATTTATCACTCACACAGCAATGCTCTAGCTCCTGCGACTAAAGCTCGTGGACGGTTTCCGATTACATTCTAATTAAATTAACAATTTCAAATCATGGCAAAATATGACTGCGCGTGCATGTGTGTGTGTGTGTGTACAAGCATATTTTCGGTGTACCACCAAAAGATTTTGCGTGTACCCGGCTCAAATTTGGTGTTCAGACACTTTTTCGGGTGGGTAACAATAAAAAATATACTTTTTTGCGGTTCTGACAAGAATTCTAGCAGGCCATGAATTCGAAATACGGATGGTCTAGATAAAAGGCTATAACAGAGCAAAACAGCCGTCCTTCGACAAGTAGGACCTCATTTATCCGCGACATCACCTGATCTGATCCAGCTCTCTGGTGAAAGCCGTTACTTATTACTTTTACGCAGATGGCATTGCCGCACATTGCCTTTTTAAGACAGTGCGGTAATTCAGCTCTCCTTCCCACCCTAGTACGCAGTTGATTATTTTAGAAGCGAAGGGATCAAATAACTAAAAAAAACGACACCTTCAAAAAGCTTCAAAAAATCATGCTTGCATTCGACATTGTACTCCAGATCCATATCCGTTATTTTGATCTAAAATATGCTCAGCCTTAAAAGAATACTTTGCTCTGCGGATGCATATTAGTTGTCAGGCTCAGGAACACATTCACACGGACAAAGCCAATTAACCCAAACTAATCCCCAAAAAGTGTTAATACACTGCTCGAATTCTAAAATGTTCGTTCGCTTGATTCTCGTGATTAATGTCACCCGTGAGACTTTGAACCTATTTTGAAAGTGCACAAACTTAAGATAAAAATATGTACTTCAAGGTCAAACTGTACCATAGCTTCGTAAAACTCTATTACAGTAAGGGAAGAAGTTCTAAACTGGTTGTAGTTTCAGCAGAGTTGCCGCCTTTTCAATGCTACAGAAGGGCCACAAAATAACCTCATTATTTGTTTTTACTGCACATGCGAATATGTCTTCGTTATCCTCGCTTACAGTTTTTGCCCCAATTACTTCAACGTGTCATCTCCCTCAAAAATCCCGTGCGGTGAATCTGAGCCAGCAGGCTACTGGGAAAAGCAGAATTTGAAATCCTCGCCTTGGTAGTCTTGTCATCCACTTTACCTTTACACAAATAAAACTTGTATTAAATAAGTCAATAAAATGATCAAAAACAAAAAAAAAAACAAAAACAAAAAAATTGAGCAACTAAAAAGTAAAAGGCCTACAGAGAAGTTTTATGATTTCGACAACTCTAAAGCGCCTTACAAACCGAAAACACAAGTAAGTAAAACAGTTTATGATATTTCTTACAGGCTTAGAAACTAAACTTTCATGAAAAAAGTCGTCGATAACAGGCGAGAAAAACTGTGTAAATTGTACTTCTGGACAGAAAGTTATCTCACTGATTTTTCAATTGATTAGAATCATTCGGAACTTCAGCTTTATCAAAATCTGTAAGCTCTATTTTCCCAGTACAAAAGTACCATAGCTTTTTTCACTAGTTTTTTTCAAACGGTGTGTTTTCCTTTTAATCTGTAGCTATTTAAGTTAGTCCTGTCTTGCACAAAAAAAAGCACAGAACTATGAAGCAACAAACCTTAACAACTTGTCCTTCAGGGGCTTTGATGCTCCAAACACACTGCATGCTTGGCTCATAGGTGCTATTTGCTTTGCCATAAAAGCCTGGGCTCGTTAGTACACCTGCTTTCGGGCCTCGGATTAGACCCCCACATGCTGCAAAAATGAGCAATGAAATTCAAGACACGCATCCAGGGAGTCAATAAGTGAAAAAAAAAAACCTCTACAGTGAGCTGGGATAACTTCCGGAAACACTGTTGCTTCAATAAAGACTTTTTTTACAGAAGACTGAGTAAAATCACCAACGGTTTACTTGTCTACATTATAAATAAAGATAGAAATAACTATAAAACAGTAATAATAATAAAAATAAAAACAATGATAATTAAAGTCGTAATAATTCAAACAGGGATATAATAACACTGGTAATAAGACAGAATGTGAGAATAATGATCATGATACTAATAAATATGGTCGTGATAATTATTCAATTTAGAACAATGTACTACAAAAAATGAAAATGCAAAGGCAGAATGTTCAAATTTAAAATTTTAAATAACTGGAAAGGAATGTTTCGGTCATTACGTCGTACACGTTCCTTCTCAGTACAACAACTCATCCCCTTAGCATGGCGGTTGTGGTGTTGTTATGAAAGTAAGGTGAGGGATATATATATATATATATATATATATGTATATATATATACATATATATACATATATATATATATGTATGTA